TACTACCCTTTCTATATCACTGTTACTGCTCCCACTGGAAGGCTATTCCAGGTATCTGCTGCCTTTTCTATATCACTGTTACTGCTCCCACTGGAAGGCTATTCCAGGTATCTACTACCCTTTCTATATCACTGTTACTGCTCCTACTGGAAGGCTATTCCAGGTATCTACTACCCTTTCTATATCACTGTTACTGCTCCCACTGGAAGACTATCCCAGGTATCTACTACCATTTCTATATCACTGTTACTGCTCCCACTGGAAGGCTATTCCAGGTACCTACTACCCTTTCTATATCACTGTTACTGCTCCCACTGGAAGGCTATCTATGTATCTACTACCCTTTCTATATCACTGTTACTGCTCCCACTGGAAGGCCATTCCAGGTATCTACTACCCTTTCTAAATCACTGTTACTGCTCCCACTGGAAGGCCATTCCAGGTATCTACTACCCTTTCTATATCACTGTTACTGCTCCCACTGGAAGGTTATTCCAGGTATCTACTATCCTTTCTAAATCACTGTGACCGTTCACACTGGAAGGCCATTCCAGGTATCTACTACCCTTTCTATATCACTGTTACTGCTCCCACTGGAAGGCCATTCCAGGTATCTACTACCCTTTCTATATCACTGTTACTGCTCCCACTGGAAAGATATTCCAGGTATCTACTACCCTTTCTATATCACTGTTACTGCTCCCACTGGAAGGCTATTCCAGGTATCTACTACCCTTTCTATATCACTGTTATTGCTCCCACTGGAAGGCTATTCCAGGTATCTACTACCCTTTCTATATCACTGTTATTGCTCCCACTGGAAGGTTATTCCAGGTATCTACTACCCTTTCTATATCACTGTTACTGCTCCCACTGGAAGGCTATTCCAGGTATCTACTACCCTTTCTATATCACGGTTACTGCTCCCACTGGAAGGCTATTCCAGGTATCTACTACCCTTTCTATATCACTGTTACTGCTCCCACTGGAAGGCTATTCCAGGTATCTACTACCCTCTTGGTAAGGTACCGCCCCTCTATTCTGCTCTGGTTTCTGTTTTCGTATAATTCTGCCCTTTTCCATTTAATATATTTACATTTCTCTCTCTGCAGGAGTCTGGCTGGTGCTGTTAGTAAAGTTGTGAATTGTGAAATTATCATTAAAAATAAAAAGTGATTTTAGATAAAAATAAAAATATTTAGTTTATTATTGTGGCTTTACATTTGGGTTATAAATCCCACTTTTAGCTAATAAAGTGCTAAATGATGGCAGCTCTCTGTACATTTAATGTAACTATCTTTATTATCTCTGTTATTATTTATATTATTATTTATATTATTATCTTCTGGTCTGTAAACAATAACCAAAGGTTTGATACAAAGAGGGGATATGTAATAATATAAATATTGACTTGGTTCCTTTCCTGTCCTTTGGTGGGTTCTGCTAAATTTAGGGAAAGAATGTCTTCCAGATACTTTGTAACAGAAGGGAAGAATTTGGGAATATTAGGGGGGGTGAATTGGGCGGGGCTAAATTCAGCTAATTTGCATGTTATATCCGCCTTGGCCAATGACAGGAGAGGAGGGAGTGGTTATGGTGATTGTACCATTGTTAGGGAGCATGCGTGGATTAGAGGCTAACAAAGCAGCAGCACAGTCACTTCTATCACCCTGGATAATCTGCTGGCAGTCATTGACCTGGGATTGTACAGTTTGCAGGATCCTGGCTTGCTGTGCTGGGAGTGGGAGCTGTGTGTGTGTGAGGACACCATCCTGGTATGTAGCTTGTTACTGTGTATCCCTGTGTGTATACTGTGTATCCCTGTGCCAGCTCTGTGCCAGCCAGCCTGCCTGCCTGCTGGATGCTATGAGTCAGGGTGGCATTTAATGAGGATTTACAGGCAGGGAGAGTGGGTGGCTGGCTAAACCTGCCCATTGCTCAGTCAGCAGGAATCCATGGACTGGGTCCCCAGGGTGCTGGGAGGGGGATGTGTTTATTAGAGCCACAGGGGCCACACCAGCTGATTTAGCAAATCTGAAATACAGGTCAGGATCTGAAAGGGTTAAAAGTCCCAGCCATGTGTTATATGTCCCTGTGTTACTGAGATGGTGTGATATAGATGTATGATCTCTCTGTGGGCATAAACTGTCTGTGTGTTTAGCACATAGAGTGTGTGTGTGTGTGTGTGTGTGTGTGTGTTTTTTTTTTTTTATTTAGTAGGTAGTATCTGTCTGTCTGTGTGTGTGTTTTGTGTGTAGTATCTGTGTGTGTTTTGTGTTTAGTAGGTAGTATCTGTGTGTGTGTGTGTGTGTTTTTGTAGGTAGTATGTGTGTGTTTTGTAGGTAGTGTCTGGGTTTGTCTTTTAGTCGATAGTATCTGTGTGTGTTTTGTGTTTAGTAGGGTGTGTGTGTATGGCAATGTACAGTGTGTGTCTGATATTAGATATATGGGTAGATTTTTTGTTACAATGTATCTGTAATACTGTATTGTCTGTACAGTATGTGTGTGGCCATTAACCCTGTGTGCGCTGGACTGCACCACATCCTGTCTCCTCCTGGCTCCCAGAGAATTCACTGCAGCCAACAAAGTGTCCGGATCTGGGATTTACTGGCATTGGATTCAGTCATAGAAATTACACTGCTCTCTGTCTTGGCACAGCATGGGCACAGCAACGGGTACACTGCTGGTACTGCGCACTGATAGACAGTGTGTGTGCATGTTAGCTACAGCCCTCACTCACACGTACATCCCACAGTGTACTCACACACAGCGCTCACAAACAGTGTACTCACACACAGCACTCTGTCACAGTGTACACGCATCCCATAGTATACTCACACACTCACACCATTCTACGCATCCCATAGTATACTCACACCATTATACGTAGTGTACTCACACTCGCACCATTATACACATCCCATAGTATATTCACACACAGTGCTCACTCACACATCCCATAATATACTCACACCATTATACGCATCCCATAGTATACTCACACTCACACCATTATACACAGCCCATAGTGTACTCACACCATTATACACAGCCCATAGTGTACTCACACTCACCCCATTATACACATCCCATAGTGTACTCACACCATTATACACATCCCATAGTGTACTCACACTCACCCCATTATACACATCCCATAGTGTACTCACACCATTATACACAGCCCATAGTGTACTCACGCTCACCCCATTATACAGAGCCCATAGTGTACTCACGCTCACCCCATTATACAGAGCCCATAGTGTACTCACACTCACCCCATTATACACATCCCATAGTGTACTCACACTCACCCCATTATACACATCCCATAGTGTACTCACACTCACCCCATTATACACATCCCATAGTGTACTCACACCATTATACACATCCCATAGTGTACTCACACTCACCCCATTATACACATCCCATGTACTGAGCTGCCTCCATCCATCCCTGACCGTTACACACTTTCCCCATATGCAGTTCTATCTCTCGGGGTACATTACACACCTCTCTCTCTCCCTGCACACACCCATTGCTCGCAGTATACACAGCTTTCAGTGTGTACATCCGCCCCTTAGAATAATAAACGTGTTTTAATGTACTGTACCATGTTTCGGGTGTCAACTAATTGGTTGATTATTCAGGGAGCTGCGCAGTCACCGCCTGTGTCATTTACAGGACATGGCTGGACAGCAGCCAGGCCAGGGGAACACATGTGTTTCATTTCATACATCAGCGTCTGGAGCGATAGGGCTGCGATAATCTGCAGGAATGGAAGGAAGATGAGATAATCTGTGTGAATAGGTGTCTGCCATAATCTGCCTGTTTCTATCCAGAACAGGGGTCGCGTGATAATCTGAATTCTTAGGAATTAGGGGGTGCAATAATCTGCAGGCACCTTGGGAATGGAGGCAGCGATTACCTAGAGGTTTCTATCAGAAATGGAATGGACGAGATACTCTGCAGCTATCTGACAGAAATCTCACCTTTCAGCAAATCTCATGTTAAACCAGACGCCATGAATGCAATGCTGCCAACTAATGTTCCCATGATCCTCTGCAATGCATCCAGGTGGATTTAGCCATCTGCCCGATGGGACAGTGTCTGCAGCGTCCGATTGGTTTCAGCTCCCTGGTAGTCTGTTCCAGGGGAAGAATCACATTGTTTCCCCGAAATGCACGATCCAATAATTAGTGTATTTGGAACCTTAAAGGGACGCAATTACGGGAGACATAATGATCACAGAGTCCCATTTTGTATAGTTGCTAATTTCACGTACACTTTGTACAATCCAAACGGCTGCGGAATGGATAGTGAATAAACTTGTGCATTCGTTTTCGGACAAATCGCAATTCGTCTGAATTTAGGCCGAATTCCGTAACTGTGAAGCGCCATACGGACGAGCATGTTCGTTTTATCCGTGATTCGGAGTAAAAAAAAGACACAATTGATGGCTGGGGGACTGAATGATGATTTTATTCACAGATAAAGTGAGAATAGACCAAACGAGAAGCTGTAAAATATTATCTTTATTTACCTTTTATAAATTATATAATCTAGAAATCTAGGTGTTTATTTCACTGCGTCTCCTGATTATCTCTCTTGGTTACTTCTCACTGTGAGTTAAATGGTTGTGAAATGCTCCTCTTAGTGCACTGTGATTGATATATACACAATTTATATTATTATTAATAATCTTTATGTTATGGATCTTGTTTGCCGTACTTGTTCACTGATTTGCCATTTTTCACACACTTTTGGTTTTCCCACATTTTTCCACCATGTACAAGTCTAATAGTGATTGTGTGTGCAACTACCTGTCCTTAAATCACACAGCGCATACATACCGTGTGTGCAACTATGTGTCCCTAAATCACACCGCGCATACATACCGTGTGTGCAACTATGTGTCCCTAAATCAGACAGCGCATACATACCGCGTGTGCAACTACGTGTCCCTAAATCAGACAGCGCATACATACCGCGTGTGCAACTACGTGTCCCTAAATCAGACAGCACATACATACCGCGTGTGCAACTACGTGTCCCTAAATCAGACAGCGCATACATACCGTGTGTGCAACTACGTGTCCCTAAATCACACCGCGCATACATACCGTGTGTGCAACTATGTGTCCCTAAATCAGACAGCGCATACATACCGCGTGTGCAACTACGTGTCCTTAAATCAGACAGCACATACATACCGCGTGTGCAACTACGTGTCCCTAAATCAGACAACGCATACATACCGCGTGTGCAACTACGTGTCCCTAAATCAGACAGCGCATACATACCGTGTGTGCAACTACGTGTCCCTAAATCACACAGCGCATACATACCGTGTGTGCAACTACGTGTCCCTAAATCACACAGCGCATACATACCGTGTGTGCAACTACGTGTCCTTAAATCAGACAGCGCATACATACCGCGTGTGCAACTACGTGTCCCTAAATCACACAGCGCATACATACCGCGTGTGCAACTACGTGTCCCTAAATCAGACAGCGCATACATACCGCGTGTGCAACTACGTGTCCCTAAATCAGACAGCGCATTCAAACCGCGTGTGCAACTACGTGTCCCTAAATCACACAGCGCATACATACCGCGTGTGCAACTACGTGTCCCTAAATCACACAGCGCATACATACAGCGTGTGCAACTACGTGTCCCTAAATCACACAGCGCTTACATACCGCGTGTGCAACTACGTGTCCCTAAATCACACAGCGCATACATACCGCGTGTGCAACTACGTGTCCCCAAATCACACAGCGCATACATACCGTGTGAAATTCCAAACCTATCAATAAGCTGAAAACCACCTTCATTCATTTTCAGTAGCCATGATGTAGACACAATTTTTAGCTATTTGAAAATGATCCATCCCCTCCTTTACCCCATCTTCCTCTATCAGTGCTTGATTCCTTCTCAGCATCTGATATTTCTGGCCAATCTCCTTTAGACTTAAAGTCTCTTCGGTCAAGTTCCAGTCGACTTTGTCTTCCCAGCCACGCTTTCGCCGGCCTCCAGCCAAGCTCCCATTGGCCTCCATCCTCTCCAGCCAAGCTCCCATTGGCCTCCATCCTCTCCAGCCAAGCTCCCATTGGCCTCCAGCCTCTCCAGCCAAGCTCCCATTGGCCTCCAGCCTCTCCGGCCAAGCTCCCATTGGCCTCTTGTCTCTCCGGCCAAGCTCCCATTGGCCTCCAGCCTCTCCGGCCAAGCTCCCATTGGCCTCTTGTCTCTCCGGTCAAGCTCCCATTGGCCTCTTGTCTCCCCGGCCAAGCTCCCATTGGTCTCTTGTCTCCCCGGCCAAGCTCCCATTGGCCTCTTGTCTCCCCGGCCAAGCTCCCATTGGCCTCTTGTCTCCCCGGCCAAGCTCCCATTGGCCTCTTGTCTCCCCGGCCAAGCTCCCATTGGCCTCTTGTCTCCCCGGCCAAGCTCCCATTGGCCTCTTGTCTCCCGGCCAAGCTCCCATTGGCCTCTTGTCTCTCCGGCCAAGCTCCCATTGGCCTCTTGTCTCTCCAGCCAAGCTCCCATTGGCCTCTTGTCTCTCCAGCCAAGCTCCCATTGGCCTCTTGTCTCTCCAGCCAAGCTCCCATTGGCCTCTTGTCTCTTCAGCCAAGCTCCCATTGGCCTCTTGTCTCTTCAGCCAAGCTCCCATTGGCCTCTTGTCTCTCCAGCCAAGCTCCCATTGGCCTCTTGTCTCTCCAGCCAAGCTCCCTCATCTTTTTTCCTCGCCCAAGCTCTGGGTGAGAGATTCCTGCAGATATAACATCTGGAGGTTTTTTTAGGAGATTCGTCATCAGAACCGATTGTATTTTTTCTGATTATGTTTTGTATCCATTAAAGTGTTATAAAAGAAATCGGAATAATCCGCAAGCTTCCTCAGAAATATCCCTTTTAGGACGACGCCATAATTAGAGCAGCAGAAAATACAGAAATGAGAAAATGAAAAGGTTAATAAATCCATAGAGATGCTGGGGGAAAAATAAATGTTTTAATAAATTTAGCCAAATATTCACTGAAACATAGACATAAAAGTCTTTGATAAATTTCCCCCAGTGTGTTTAAACCAAAGGTAGTACTGGCATTGAATGCAAATTCTCCCTGTCCCAAGATCACGTGGACAACATTATAGGAAAAAAACAAAACAAATGTGCGTTCGCAAGTCATCTCAGAAAAATGGCAGCTCCGCTAAACCAGAATAGCAGTGAATCTGTTTGATAGATCAGTTAATTTATTGTGTTATTTAGGGGTTAAAACAGAGAGTATGTTAGTTGTTTTTAGTTAATAGATTGTATATGTGCCATCTATCTCCCTCACTGGCCAAACACACAGTCGTATTGCGGCTTGGGATCAGAACATCACAGCTAACGCCTGCTCTTTAACTACTGAATTAAAGAGAATGGAAAATTGCAATATTCAGGCCAAAATCGCAGATTTGGAAAAATGATCCAAGCCTGCAACAGTCACAGCTTGGCTACTTTAGCCTGAATTGCACATTGCTAATTATGGGTTTCAATTCACTATGGTTCAATGTTTAATAAATAAACCCTGGATGTTTGTAATTTAGTTTATTTGAGAGAAAGGAAGGGCATATAGGGATCCTGAATGAAATACGTCCGTTTACGCATTGAACTTAACAATTGGTAAAAAAAAAAAAAAGGAATTATATTAATATAATAAATCATAATTAAAGGTTTTTCTATTAGTGAATATTTTCAGGATATGTATACTCTTAGGGTGTAGTGGATACATGGAATGGCTTTCCAGCGATGTGGGATGTTTGCTCATGTCAAAGCCGGCTGAGCATTACGGTGAATATACTTTGCAGAGCTGTCATTTCGCTGTTTTTTGCAGGGGATTAGAGCAGGAGTGTCAAAAATGCAAAGACCCTCAAGGCGGCATGCCCACTCGTACAGGGGTGGCCAGGGGTGAGTCATACTTCATGGCTGGTAGGAAATAGTAGGACAGAAGGGAAATGTAATCCTAAACATCTGGAGTGCCGAAGGTTCCCTTTCCTTGTGGTAGGATATAGCGCCAGAAACTCAAAGATCTGCGTTTACGGGAGACAACCTAGTCCCTACCTTGTCTCATTTATCATTTGATCCAAAGGAATTCCAGTAAATTCAGAAAGCGTTAAATTGAAAGAAAATCTTACTCATCTCTGAATTTTCCTTGTTTGAATCGAGCTTTACCGTCAGCTTGCGTCACGGTGATTCCCTGCTAAACCTCTGTCAATTCATCGTTTAGTTAATGAACATTATTTGTTATTGTTTGTTTTTAGAATAAAACAATTGAATTTATTTATAAACAGTAATGCAAAGTGTGAATATGCTCAGATTAAGTAACTTTTTAAATCTGTGCATCATTTTATAATTAAAATAATTGCGCCTGATGTTAATGAGACTGACATGTCTGACAATCTCTAAACGCTAAAGTCTCCGTTTTAAACTTGCGATCGCTTGAGACGGTGTGTTCTGTGTTTGATAACATTGCGAAATCTTTAGTGTAGAAAGAGTTAAAATACGCACACTGCAAAGTCCTCCCTTGTTATGTAGCATTTTTTAATTTTGACAATATAATAGTAAACTAGGGAGCGCAGGAAGAGACCTCCTTATTGTCAGGACAGAATAGGTGGGTACTGATAAATGTAGTCATTGTTGGAAGTTGACGCCAAGCGTGCTCTGTGTTCCGTGCCAAAAGACGGCCGGTGAAGGGCCATACCCTGGTCTCAAACATGGTCCTATCAGAAGAAGTCATTTAGAGGATTTAACCCTTATATAATCATGACATCATCTGTCTCGAAGGGGTTAAATTGCTCGAAATCTTTTCGATAATGTCAGAGCAGAGGCCGGGTCCTAGCGGCAAGGTGTTGTGTGGCTTCAGGTAACTGTGGCAGTGGAGTCACAAGAGAGGGCAATCAGGAAGGATGGATGAGTGGATACTTTACCAAGCTTCCAATGAGCGGCTAAGAATTATGGGAGATGCAGTCCAACAGCAGCTGCAGAGCGAAGATCAGAGAGCCTGCCGTAGAGAGTGACAACACAAGGCTAGAGGGAATGTCTTTATTGGGAAACGCAATCACCCGAGCCGTGCGTTGTGAGAGCTCCTGGTACTGTGGAGAAAACCTCTCTGCCAACGCTTCTTTATAAAGATTCTGTCCCGGAACGGCTCAGGGCCACCACAAATCCCACCACTCATGGCCAGCCAGGATTTCTGGTGGCTCTGATATTTTCCTGGAAAGGCGAGAAATAGCTGTAGCATAAAAAATGTGTAAACGTGACCGATGTCCAAGTAATTAAGAACCCGCCTTGTGTGCTTGGGGAAGTAATTTTCCTTGGTGAGCGTGATGATATACAATGCTTATTTGTGTTTTTTTTGTGCTAATTTCCTTCCCCAACGTGTACTCCAGCCATTTATTTGATGTTGTGTTTTGGCCGTTACCCCCGTAACTCATTCATTAAAATAATGAATACATTTACGATGAATGAAGTACCCCAAGCAGATGGCCTAAACTTGTGGATACTTAAGGAGGTGACTTCAGCTGTAGCTGAAACTATATTTATTCTCCAGTGACTTAATTTCCTCTGGCACAATGCCGCAGCTCTGACGGGGAAGCAGATGTTCTGCCATTTTTATTTTTTTAACTCAAACAAGATCTCAGTCTTGGGATTACAACCCGGCAAGCGCTGTACACTAGGAAATCTAGATGAAATATCTGATTTAACGGAATTAGCCGGAGACTCCGATCCTGTAACAAGGGGCAGAGGCTGCAGTGTGAGAGGGGATGTGTCGGTCCTTCATTATGTCCCATACACAGGAGGCTCTAGATTTGTTTCTGTGTAGCCAATGTTTAAGAGTTACATTTCAATCAGCAAAGTTCATTGTTTGCCTTTATCGATTTGTTATGTAAGTCCTTGGAGAGATTGGCTAGATGGGATAAATAGATGGGTGACTACTGGCCGCGTGTTCTCGGTCGCCTTGCTCCTTATTACCAGCCAGTTTGGATATGGTTGCCATAGAAACAGTCTGGGAATTCGGTCAACTTGAATCTATAGATTTTGAATAGAGTGCAGTTTGTCGTTTATTTAGTTTTCTGTCCCCTTTTTGTGCTGTGAGAGATATAGGAGCAATACAACCAGATGGTATCACATATGAAAACGTGGCAGTCTGTTCCACGTACCCATGGCAGTAAGACCTGCTGTAGAATTAGTTACATGTCATCCCATGTTGCCCCCATATTACGCCAGTCTTGTCCTCTCTGCCCCTGGGCTCCATCGCGTCCTGGGTCTATTTTTATTCCATTGTATTTTTCCAGCCAGGGAGACTCGCCACGCAGACGGGAGATAAATGTGATCCATGGCCACAGCTCCCAAGGTGTGGCGCTCTTTGTGTTAATGCCACGCCGTGGTATGTGTAGCTGACATCCTTAGCAGCAGTTTCTTTTTTTTTTCTGTTACATCATCGGTTTAAAACAAACAATAACTACAGATTTTTTTAAATGAAATCAAGAAATGTCTATTTTTGTACTGATTGAGGAGCTGCTTTCCGTTTGTGGGATCTGCAGATTGCGTTCACAATGGGATAATACATTTTGCCCTGTGTTCCAGTTCATTGTGTTGCTCTGCTGAATTTTGTGAAGAAATGAATCCGCGCCAAATTATTCCTTTTTTTTACCATACAGTGCCAAAACCCTGCGCCCAGTCTCCTGTGGAAAGTTGGGTTTTCAAGTGCCTGCTCCCAGAGCATTATCAAAAAGGTGGCTGGCTACAGTACCGAGTCTATTTCCATAGCAACAACATGGGTA